CACAAATGGATTTCATTTAAATGGATCCTGCTTGATATCAGCGATGAGGATCCTTCAGGTTTAGAGGTGTGATTTCTGTTCCTTTTCTTCCCTTGCTGAGTAATTTTCAGGTTATTGAAAATAACAAAATGAGACTTCAATTTCAAAATCGGCGTCTGCACTTCAGTGTGCCAGATTGTCAACACAATTCTAAAGGTAAATGGCCTATTAATGGGAATGAATGTGGACAGCACAAAATGCTGAAGCCGCCCTTTGGCCCATCTGTGTTGTACAGATAGGGGTGGGGGGTTACGGGTCTGCATTCAGGCTTATGGAGGAAAGGAGGTACGGGGTTCAGGGATCGTCAGTCAGAGGCAGCATCGTTACTTCTGCTTGTTTTGCTTCTTTTTGCCTTTCCTCTTTTGTGCTGTAGTGATTGGAAAAGTAAACTACTTCCTGCCGTGTCAGCAGTATCAGAGGAAAGAACTCCAGTGTTCCAGTTGTTGCTGCAAGCATTAGACTGTTTACACATTTATAGGCTTAAAGGACTGATACGGAGGCTAGAGGCAACAATATGCATTGGCAGTACTTTTTGAAAAGTCAGCCCAACACTTGAGGAACTTTTGCCTCTCTGTTATCTCTTTGCTTCTGGGAGAGTGGCTGAGCCAAGGGGTGCAAAAACTGCACACATCATTTTAATCTCCTGATCTTTAGACAAATCTATGGCTTAGCCTTGAGTGTCACTCTTGGGATAATGGGATGGGACAATTTGGATGTGTCTTCAGCTAAAATGGTGATTTAAGAGTGATTCAGCTGCTATCAGTGGATTTGTTGTTTATTTACTTAGATCACTGGGGAAAATTATTCATATTTGTTGTTGTTGTTATTAAATTTGTATATCATTTCTCACAAGTGCCCAAAGTGGCTTACAAACCTAAAAACAGAAGCATAGGCATTCCTATGTTTAAACAGATTTTCTTTAAAAAATAGTTTTGGTTGCCATTCCCTTTCTTCTCTCAGTTTTTAAACTCAAATACAATTCTTTCTATGTTTTATCATCTTTATTACCACACCCTATTGGTGTTGCATTGGTAATTTCTAGAGGAGTGTGTGTGTGTGTGCATGTGCATGTGTGTGTTCTGTAAGAAAAGTAGAAGTCACTTTCTACATGGGAGAGAAATTATGTCAAATGGGAAGTCTTTGTTTAGTCTTTTCCAATATGACTATTATATTGAAGGAAACATCTTCAACTTGCAAGATGAGACTGAAGACTTGGAATAAAGACATAGTTTTTAACAGTTTACAGTCTCTTATCACTGCTATGTAAGAGATAAGAAAGGATTTTTCTCTATCAGAAAGGGTGTACTTGGAAACCAGTCCCAGAAGATTAGACCCTTCAGATAGCAAAGGTGTTTTGTTTCCTTTCGTCTTTTCTCTCCCCACACCCAAAACAGTGTAAAACATGAAAAAAGGGAAGGAGGGAAGGGGGAAAGAGGTGCTGCAAAAGAAAGATGTGACGTGCTGAAGCTGACTTTCAGCCTTTTCTTAGAAGGCTTTCCCCATATACTGTATTCATAATATTTAGTATTCATAGTATGAAAGGAAGAAGCAAATCTTGAGCTAAGGTCTTTCATTGTAATGCCTGTTTTTCTGTTGTAGTCAGTTTTAAATTGTCTTATTTTAAAAGAGAAGTCTAATTGTGTTATACTGTACATAATAAATTCTATCTAATTTAAGCAATTGTGTTGCTACATTACTTTTGCAAACAAGAAATCTAATTAATAGCATACAACAGAAATGGGCAGGAGAAAAATCTGAATCTGCTTGTAGACCCGTTTTAATGGGCTTTTCACAGGTCACAGTTCCCAATTATTTAATAATAATGGCTTCAAAATGACCATCTACCTTAAATTATACTGCTAAAATAAATAAATTTTGGATATCCATGATTTTTATAATGAAGAAATGCAAATTCTGTTAAGTTTTGGTATTCAAAAGAAATTCCTCGGCTCAGAATTATTTAACTCTGTTACATTATTTCCTTATTATAAAAATGGGCTGAGATAATATGTGAAATAAAAATGGGGCTGAGCTAATTCATTCCATCCCAAATTCCAGATGTACATATTAGTGCCTATGCCAGTGTCTTCACAAAAGTCTGCGAAGACTTACATGGACAGATCACTTTCTGGTGACTGTAGGGTTGGTCAATGCCACAAACTTCTGAAGGAAAATGAGACTAATTGTATCAGTCTTCCCCAGATATTTGATGAATTCAGTATGTTTCCAGGTGGCACATGGAGAGATTTTATTGTAAGAAAGTATAGATAGGAAGAACCATCAATAGGCTGCTGCAATTTATTAGCAGAACACTTTGCAAACAAAATCACTTGCCTTTGCTTGAAATTAGAAGACAGCTGGACAGAGCCTGAAGAGGTGCCAAGAGTAACATCTAGCAGTGTTATCCAGAAAGAGTTTGAATCTGTGGATTCTGAGAAAGAGTCCTCCAGGAAATTACTTCTGTCACCTGTGAGTTTCATCCCCTCCCACTTGGCTTATATGTGCTGCCAGGAAAAAAGACAAGAAGCTGGGTCAGAGTGGTTGCCATGACCTCTCTTTAAGGGGTCAGTCTTGGATTCAGGGCCAGCTGTACTGGATAACTATTCCCCAGTTTTTGACATTCCCCTTTTAGGGAAGGTTATTGAGAAGGTGGTAGGCAATCAACTGCAGTGTGCTCTGGAAGAAATAGATTGTCTGGATTTACATCAGGGTTCGTTCAGGCATGGGCATAGGTGTGTGGTGGAAACTGTAGTGGTTGCCCTCATTGACGATGTATGATGGGGCTTGGATGGGGGAGACTAACCTTACTAGCTCTACTAGATCTCTCCGTGGTATACAATACCATTGACCATGATATTCCTCTGGACTTCTGGACTGGCTACAAAGAAACACTTTTTCTTTATATATGGGGAAGGCGCCTCAGGGCTTGATCCTCTCTCCCAACTTATTTAACATCTATATGAAGCTGCTGATGGAGGTCATCTGACAGTTTGAGGTTAGATATCATGAATGTGCCAATGATAGCCAGTTGGGAATGACCTTGGGAAACAGGGCAAAGAGATGCAGGCCAAGGGAACAGTCAGACAAAAGGAAACTTAGCCAGGAGCAGGAATGTGAGTGGGGCAAGAGGCTCAGAAGAGACCCTGCCTAGTTTCTTGGTCTGTAAATGGGACAGGGGGAGAGAGATGCTTTCAGACTCCCAAGATTCTGTTAAGGTAACCTTACAATAAAGTAGAATTAGCTCATCTGGCCGTGTTTCCTGTCTGGTCTATCTCACAAGGCTGACACCAGTTATACACCTCTACCTTGGTGTGTCTGGGAGATGCAGTGGAATTCTTGACCTGGAGGCAGTAAGGGTCTAGAAGGGGAGAAACAGGTTAAGACTGAGTGGCTATGGTTTTGGACTGATTCTGGGATGATACCAACTTCAGCTCTAGTTGGGTTTGTGCTCCCCCAGAAAAAATTGGTGTGCATTCTGGGGATACGACTGAACTCTCAGCTCCTGCTGGAATGGTATGTAGAAGCTGGATCCAGGAGGATCTTTGCTCACCTTCATCTGGTTACTAGTTGCAACCATTCCTATAGCATGAGGCATAGGCTATAGACTATTTTAATTGGGACTGTCCTTGAAATAACAACTAATGCAAAGTGCAATAGCCTGCTTATTAATTGGGATAACCCAGTATTATAATATAACATCAATATTTTTTCCCTTTTATTTTTGTAAATGTGAATTGTTATAGATTTTAATTGTATATTTATTTATTGTTTTAACGTGTTGTGAGCCGCCCAGAGTCCCCCATTGGGGGAGATGGGCAGGGGACAAATTTAATAAATAAAATATTGTGGGAGCTGCATTGGTTGCCAGTTTCCAGGTGCTATTCATGATGCCAGTGATCACTTTTAAGAGCTCTGAATGGATTGGCACGTGGCTGTCTTTCAGATGGTCTGCTCAAACAAAGTCTGAATACCCAGGGTGTGCCTGTAGAGAGTTTTTGTGAGAATCCTGGCCCAATATGAAATGCACAACCAGTTTTTTTTTAATGTCTGAGTAGATCAGAGATAAATAACTTGGGTTATTTCAGAAGCTGGTGATCAGTGACTTCTGGCATCTCTTATTAATGGCCATGCTGGTTGAAGCTGCTAAGAATAGCAGTCCTGTATTATCTGAAGTATCCCAGCTGATGGGCTTGAGTGAATGTCTTGGTGGCATTTGGTGTTCTAGTATGAAACAAAATAAATCCTGCAGACCTGAACTCTATGAAGTCGTGATATATAATACATATTGAAATAATTAATAAAAAATAACATAACTGTTCCTCAAACATGGACATCCTTGAATTTTATAGCTACCTATTCTTTAAATGGTTCTTTCAATGCTGAACTTGTTTGTTTTGAAGTTTTAAAATGGAAGCTGCCTTCTGGAACTTCAGAGATTTCTTTTTTATCCTAGTAGAGTTGCACTTTGCTTCTGCTCTCTCCCTTTACCCAGCTTTTGTGTGGTCAGATCAAGTCTAGTATGCTCTTGCCACAGTAAATGGAGTTCCCCCATTGGGGGAAGATGGGCGGTTGAAAAATTTGGCAAGCAAAGAAACAAACCCAAAGCAAGAATTGTTGCAATTGTTTAGGTTTGAGTAGCAAAAAGTAATTCTAATAAAAACATTTGTTGGTGAACAGGTGATGTCTCAACAGTTTTATCCCCAGAATACTTTTCTTTTTAGTATCAGTCCACCAGGGGAAAAAATGGCATGCCTTGTTTCTGTGTTCTTAACAGAAATTTGACGTATAGAAATCAGCAAATGAGCCATTTCCAGGCCTTTTGAATGACATTTAAGTTATTAGAAAATGTAGCAGGAGAATTCAGGGGCTATTTAAAACATTGGCAGTCTTATTCCTGGCATTTAAAATTAAAGCATTCAGACTTATATTCATTACTTACTATATGTATTTATTTCTTACAGCTTGCAGCTTTTTACTGCAGCACTTCCAAGTAGGAGATGGCAGAAATCAGCTCACAAGCAAACATCAAGGAAAAGGTACAATTTTTAATCATCATGTCATACAGCACACAGGACGTATAGATCAGATCATTCAGACCTTAAACAATGCCCACTCCTGCTTTCCATAGAAGATGAAAGAATTAGTCAACACCCCCATGCTTGGTAGACATCCTTGAGCTAGCTGCTCTGCATTCCTACTTCAGTCAAGGACATTTAAATGCTACTTCTTGATACCAATAATGGAATCTCAGTTGTTGCTATATAACAATCCCCTTTTCTTTTTAGAGCTCCACTGTCTAATAGCTCTGGGTTGTCTGGATTATATGAAAAGGAAATCCTAGCTTGCATATGTGCTTTATATTCTTCATATCATATACTCATTATTTATTTCATACACACACACACACCATCTTTTCTTTAATGAGCTCAAAGTGATGTACATGGGATCATTCCTCATTTTTGTCATTGCAGCAACAACACTGCTGGTGGATTGGGCACCTGATGAACTCCATGTTTGAATGGGAATTTGAACCTAGGTTTTCCTTGTTGCAGTCCAGCATTTCAACCACTACATTACATTGGTTGACAAATGTCCTCTTATTACTGAATTGTTTTGTTCATCAGTAACT